CTTGCTCTATTCGGATATTTGCTTTCTGGTTATAGTAAATCTTAGAGATAATTCTAATGTCCCTTTTATCCAAGTTTTTTTCTACTAGCAGTTTCATTAAGTGATCGTGACGAACTTTATCAAAACGCTTTGTTGTAATCAATAAAGCACATATATATATATATATATATATTATATATATATATATATATTATATATATATATATCTTGGTTTATATCTAGACATCTTTGGCATATGACGTTAAGTGCAAATAGTGCTTCTCTTGTTCCAAGCCGTTCCGAAATCCGAATTGAGTATTGCTAATATCTGCATCTAGTTTTCTGTTAATTCTTGAGTGGATTACTTTGATGAATACTTTTAATGTATGCCCCATTAAGCTTATAGTGCGGTAGTCAGTGCACTGTTTTGCATTTGCCTTTTTTGGTAAGGTTACAAAAGTTGAAAGTAGCCATTCCTTTGGTATTTCTCTCTTTTGTAGATGCAGTTAAAAGGTCGAGTAGAATATTCACTGATTCGCCTTCCACAAGCTTAAGAAGTTCTGATGTGAGCCGTCTGGACCCGGTGATTTACCATTTTTTCATTATTTTTATAGCGTATAATAGTTCTTCTTTAGTTATTTCTGGTCCTTCGTCGCCTTGCAAGTTATCTATATTAGGTTCTTGTCTTTCATCGTCGAACAATTCTTCTACATGGTTCTTCCAGGTCCTAAGCTTTTCTTGTAGATCGGCTATTATTTCACCATTTGCGTTGCATAGGAGATTGGGATGTTTTCGTTTTTGTGTACCTGTCAGTTCCTTTATCTTTTTATGTAAGTTAAAAGTGTCATGTTTGAGATGTAGTTCTCCGATTTCCTCGCATTTTCTTGTATAAAAATTTTCCTTTGCAGTTCTTATTTCTTTTCTAATTTGTTTGTTTACTTCATTATATTTTTGGCTGCATTTTCCCTTTAACTGTCTTCGCTCTTCCATGAGACCTAAAATTTTTTCTGTTATCCATTCTCGTCCTTTTTTCTGTTTCTCTTTGGTAAGCATTTTCTGGGCAGGTTTTATTATGGCGTCTTTTAAATCTTGCCACTTGTCTCTACATGCGTGTTCTCTGTCTTTGTAGAAAGCATTCGTAAGTTATCATTGATATGTTGTTTTAAATCTTCTTTAATTGTTGGATCTTCTAAGCGGCTGGTATCTATGTGATCTGTTTTTGTTTTATTTGAAGGTCTTTTGAGTCTAATGTGTACCCACGCTATCAGGGGGTTATGATCTGAAGAAACATCTGCGCCTGGATAAGCCTTAACTGATCTTATACAGTTTCTGTATCGCTCATTATTAAAATATAATCTATCTGATTCCTAATTGTTTTTTCCTAGTGTGTTGAGGGGACGTCCATGTGTACAGTCTTCGTTTGGGTAGCTTAAAGAATGTGTTTGAAATTATCATATCATTCTCTTGACAGAACTCTAAAAGTTTGTCTCCTCTGTCGTTTCATTGCCCCTAAACCATATTCTCCCACATTTTTTCCGCTTTTTCCTTTGCCAATTTTGGAGTTGACGTCTCCAAGGATAAGTGTAACATCTTTTGGCTTTGTAGACTTTAGAACTTGATTTATTTGTTCATAAAACTACTTAATCTTTTCATCTGATTTATCTGCAGTAGGGGCATATACCTGTATAATATTAAGTTTTGCAGTTTTTGTATGCAGTTGTAGGAGCAGGATCCTGTCTGACACTGGCGAAAAATTAGTGACAGACTGTGTCATTCTTCTTGAAAACGACAATTGCTACACCATATCTGTGATGTGGGTATTCATTTCCTGAGAAACAGATCATACCGTTGCTTGTCGAGACGTTGCCTGCACCCGACCATCTTGTATCGCTGATGCCTAGGATATCGATGTTTAATCTTTGCATCTCTTGTATAACGTTGTGAATTTTCCCAGGCTCGTACATGCTTCTGACGTTCCATTATATTATGTTCCATATATATGGAAATTATTTGGACAACATTAAAATAAACTTAAACTAAAAGAAATTTTTAGTGTTTAGTTGTGACCCACATCCCGATGCAAAGCTTTAATTAAACGGAGTCCAAGTTGAGAAAGTTCACAAAATGACATATTTTGTGAACATAGAAAGGTCCAGACATAGAAATAAAACGTAAAATAGCTAAACTAAAATTACTTTTATAAAAATGAAGTAATTTCTTTGCAATAACCATCTCAGTTTAGAATTAAGGCAAAGAATGGTTAAGTGCTATGTTTGGTTCGTTCTTTTGTATAGTGCAGAAGTGTAGACGCTAAAAGTATCGATCATGAACAAAATTAAAGCATTTGAAATGTGGGTTCATAGACGAATGCTGAAGATACCTTAGACAGCAAGGAAAACTAATGAAGAAGTACTAAAGAGCGTCAACAAAGATAGAGAACTGCTAAAGACTATTAAACATCGAAAAATGTGTTATCTGGGATATATAATTATAGTAAGGGGAAGTCGATATAAAATATTACAACTTATCCTTAAAGGCAAAATAGAGGGCCGTAGAAATGTAGGAAGAAAACAAGTTTCTTGGTTAAAAAACATTCGTTAATGAACTCAGATATCAAATTCAGTACAATTATTCCATATTGCAGGAGATCGAGAAGGCTTCGCAATGGTGATCGTCAACGTCGGATAATTCTGATATGGCACGCGAAGAAGAAGAAGTCCCGTGCGATCTGAATAAGGGAATTAAGTAAGTAAGCAATATCTTTTATTATTGAAAATAGTACTATTGTACTACATGAAAATCCATACATCCATAGATCTAAAATTCGATATTGAATTTTGAAAATTGAAAAGTAGAAACAAAAAAAAGCTGCTGATGAATAGCTATACAAGCTACGTCATCAGAAGTATCTGTGAAATTAATAACATAAAAACGTGTTATTCAGTAAAAGCAGTAATGGGATCATTACATAAGCTGAATAATTGGTACATAAAAAATATGGATTGATAACACGAATCATCTACTGTAAAGAGTTTAAACAATCAAGGGAAAGTAATGAAGTTAAAAAAATACATTTGCAGGAAATAATTTGCACAATGGAAAGATTAAAAAAAGTGGGTAAATAAGTTGACATTTTAAAGAAAAAATACAAAGAGACTGGTGGAAACTTCTTTTTAACGTGCTCTATCAAGTCCCCTTGACGTTGGCGATTAACGTGGCGAAACTGTCTCTGTCTCGAGCTATTCTAAAGAGTTGCTCAGCTTTCTTTATTCCTGTCCACTCTCTGATATTCTTCAACCAAGAGGCCTACTTTCTACCAATTCCTCTGCGTCCTTCGATTTTATCCATCATAATAAGTTGAAGAATATTATATCGGTCTCCCCTTACTACGTGTCCAAAATAGGCCATCTTTCTACATTTGATGTTATCAAGCAGCTCGCGAGCAGCATTTGCTCTCTCAAGGACTGCCACATTTGTCAGCATAGCCGTCCATGGAATTTTTAGTATACGTCTGTGCAGCCACATTTCAAAGGCCTCCAGACGATAAATGGTGGATATTTTTAATGTCCATGCTTCGACACCGTATAAGAGGACTGACCAAATGTAGCATTTAACCATACGCTTTCGAAGTTGAAGTTTCAAGTTATTATTACAGAAGAATGACCTCATTTTTAAAAATGTCGTACGGGCTATCTCGATTCTACATTTTATCTCTTGATCTGGATCTAGTTGTTCAGTAATATGGCAACCAAGATATTTAAAACTGGACACTCTTTGAATTATATGACCATCAACATATAATCGTGCATCTTGATGTGCTAAACGGCTAAAACACCATGTGTTTTGTTTTTGAACAGTTTATGTTTAGGCCAAACTCTCTTCCCACTGTATCAATGGCATTTAAAAGGAATTGTAATCCATTCATGTCATCACTTAAAATAACTGTATCGTCTGCATATCTGATTGTATTTATCAGAATTCCATTAACTTTCACGCCTCATTCCAAATTATGCAGCGCTTCTTTAAATATTCTATCTGAATATAAATTAAATAACAGTGGGGATAGTATACAACCCTGTCTGACACCTCTTTGTATTTTACATACTTCTGTTGATTTTCCGTTTATGCAAGCTGTCGCTGTTTGACTCCAGTATAACTTTTCTATGAATCGTATGTCTTGACTATCAACTCCTTTATCTTTTAATATTGTAATTAATTTGTGATGCTGTACTAGATGAAAGCTCGACCTTTTCATAGTCAATAAATACAGCAAAAAAGTCTTTTCTTTGATCTCGACATTTCTACAGTAATACATTTAGTGCAAAGAGGGCGTCCCGAGTTCCCAGTCCATTTCTGAAGCCAAATTGTGTTTCATCCTGATCTTCTTCACATTTATCTCTGATTCTACTGTAGATGAAATGGAAACTACTGTTTTTAAAACAAAAACAATAATTTGGCTAAGAAATAAATCTTAAAGTAACTAAAAACTTAATATATATAATTTTTACTGTAATTGTGCATACCATTAACGTTAAAATTTTTACCACGTGTAGGTTTGCGGTATAATTTATTTTATAATTGTCAATCATACTTATCACATGTGATTACATTTTAATAAGTTATTAATATTAAATATTTTTATTACTATTTATACAATAAACATATTATTTTGTAAGTTTTATATTGATGATAACTGTCTTTTCGATATCTTTATTTATTCGCTTATTTTGAGTACGAGAAACCAATGGACAACCGGAGGAAATTTTAGTTATATTTTACATTATTTATATTTTTTAAAATGCTAACTGTAGATTTTTGTTAAATGAGATAAAAGACAATGTTAATAAACAATACTCTTCGTAATATGGTGAAATTAAAATCTAACTTAATACAACAAATATCATTTATCTTAATTTGTAAATTGCAAAACGCAAAATCCAAAAAATATCAATAACTCTCAATTTTTAAACAAGATAGCCGATACTACATGTTATCCAATTAAAATTATCGCAATATTTTGGTTAAACGAGTGCAAAAGAGACTGCCAGCATAAGTAAACAAGATAATGTGTACTCACTTGAAAAGTTTAGCCTTCCGTCCTCTTTGTTTACTTGAATGACTTTTAGAGGTCCGCCAGCTTCGAAGCAGCCTTGGAATATGATTGCCATACTAACTACTATCATTGTAACGCCCTGCATTACATCTGCCCAAATGGCTGCTTTGAGACCTCCCTAAAACAGAAATAATGATAGGGATTGTTCTTTAAGTTTGATCAAATAAATGTAACAATAAAATAAGAGTATACTTGTATATTTGAAATAAATAGTTAGGCTACTGTAATGGGTATTTATCTTAACCTATTAGTTTTTAAATTTATTAGTAAGGAGATTTCTGTATTTTTTTTTTCAACGAAATTGATTCGATTGTAATTCGATATTTCATTTTCGGTCGTGAGTGATCTTATGTTGTCTTCACTATGCTTTTCCAATCCAATTTGCTATTCTGATTATAATAACACTTTTTCTTTTCAATATGACAGAAAGCGTTATACGCTTTATATAAGCGAAACATAAACAGAAGATAAGCGTTTCTGCTAAATTTCCTTTGAGGAAATAAGATGAATACCTGCTGGACTGTGTATGCGCGTTACCAACATATTTGTCATAAATATATTTTGTATTAAATAGCCATGTTGTGTAGACGAACGACATAATTAACAAAATTAAAGGAATATCTACTTATTCGATATATTTTCATTTTACGTATGTAAATATTATGTAAGATTAATATTTTTGCACTTGTAGAGATAAGCAAAACATATTAATTATGGTAAATATTGCGCTTATATAAATCTACTGTTGAAGGTTATAAACATTTAATAATATTTTTATATTTAATCATAAACCATGCCTAACTACACTTAATTTTGTTCCTAAAATTATCTAATAATCTTTTCATGCTACCAGAGTTTGTGTGTGCAAAAATGTGTCATCTTATTTTTCCACATTATTGTTAATATCTACAAAACAGTGAGGATTAAAATACTATTATCGAGTACAAAATGGCTACGAGAAAATTTAATAGTGGGCCAAATATAGAATAGTAGAGTGTAAGAATGAAAACCCAAATGTCTATGGATAAAACTAAAATATCAAATTGAATTTTTAAAGATTCATTTATTTATGGTCCTCTATACTGCACAATTTACATTAAATATGAATTACGGAGATCTGCCAAACAAGTTTTTAAAATGAACTATTTTCGCAGTAATTTTTATATCTGAGTAACAGACCCATCAGCCAATCAACAGTAAGTAAAATAGTCCGAAAATTTGTAGAAACTGGGCTCATTAAACATATTCCAAACGCTGGGACGTCCTAAAATTGAAGACAATGTGAAACTTTTTATTTTATTAAATGTACACGATAATCCTCACAGTAGTTCAACAAAAATGGCTGAATTTGCTGGAGTTTCCCAACGATCGGTATTACGTATTTTAGAAAAAGAAAAATACCGTCCCTACAAAATTCAACTACATCAGGAATTAAACGACGACGATCCCGATTGCCGCCAATTATGCATGATTTATGTATTCGCAATCCACATTTCATCAATCAAATCCTTTTTTCCGATGAAGCCACATTTTTTATACATGGTACCGTGAATCGTCAAAATTGTAGATATTAGAGTCAAGAAAACCCACATTGAATGTCTGAGTCACACACGCAATATCCTCAGAAAGTAAATGCATGGACAGGGATCATTAATAACATTATCATTGGTCCGTTTTTCTTTTCAGGAAATCTAACAGGAGAACTTTATTTAACTTTTTTGAGAAATCAACTTTTTCCTGTCCTTGCTAACATGTATCCAAATGCCAATAATCCAAATTTACCTAGTGAAAATATATGGTTTCAACAAGATGGAGCCCCTTCGCATTACGCACGTAAAGTACGTCAATTTTAAATCCGATCCACCTAGGAAGTAGATCGGAAGACGAGGTTTTATGGAGTTACCAGCAAGGTCGCCAGATCTAACACCTCTAGACTTTTCCTGTGTGGTTACATAAAAGCAAAAGTTTATGTCAATAAACCCCAAAACTTACAGGACTTGAAAGATAGAATTAGGCATGAAATGAGTCTAATTATTCCAGAACTCATCCTCAATGTACTTGATAAATGTGGCCATACTCCGTAGATTCGCATATTGTCAAGAAACCGATGGATGGCATTTCGAACATTTAATTTAAAATAATGATTATGCATAATTTGGTTACTTTAAAGTACATTATTATGATAATTCCATAATTTAGGTCGTTCACTGTATATCAATTCTGTACTGATAGCTAAAAAGGTCTTAAGTCAAAATATTGATTTGTTTTTTTTTTTTATCAAACAAATTAGTGTACTAAACTCTCACAGTATTAACAGCTTAATTAAACTTTTATTACAGACCTTTTTCATTGAAAAAAGAAGAATTATTTGAAAAAGTGGAAGTGTAAACCCATAAAATTATTGGGTAGTATATATTTAAAAAGTATATTTCAGTTGTTATAATTTAACGTATTCTAGTAAATATTTGTATTAATCACGCTTATAATTTTATTATTTGTTATTATACATTATATGGTGTAAATAATGCTGATTGTAGGTAATTAATAAAGTCATATTTTATTTACTTTTGTTTACATTTATATTACACAAGAGCACGTGTGTTTGGTTGTGTAGTAATTTCCAGCCACTTCTAGTCTGTCAAAAAGTAACTTCTCTTCTTCTTCTTCTTTCACTTTTTGTAGATCTTTCGATCTGTTTAATTCTGAAGCTGCCTCTGGTTAATTTCTTGGGAGGTAGATTGCCAACTATCCCTCCATCTTTTAGGTGGTCTTCCGGGGGGTCTTGAACCGGGCGGATTGTTTTCTAGGGCAATTTTTGGGAGTCTATTCTCATCCATTCGTCTTACATGGTTGTACCACATCCTCTTGCGCTGCCTTCCCCATCTTACAATATCTTGAATTTTGCACTGCTCTCTAATGTTTGTATTTCTCGCTCTGTCTCTTCTTGTTTTCCCCATTATTGTTCTTAGGGTTTTCATTTCGGCAACCCTTAGCATCTGTTTCGTTTTGTTAGTATCTTCGCGCACTTCTATGCCATATGTCATGATCGGTCGTATGCAAGTCTTATAGATTCTAATTTTACTATCTGTGCGCATATACGGATTTGACCAGACTATCTCCCGCAGACATCCTGACAGTGCAGATGCTTTGTTGATCTGACTCCTCAGGTCCTTTACTGGGTCGTGGGTGCTTGATATATCTATGCCCAGATATCTGAATTGCATCACCTGTTCTATGGGGTTGTCCTCAACCACTAACTTACATCTGAGCGGATCTTTTGCTATTGTCATACATTTAGTTTTGTTGGTAGAGATGTTCATATTTAGTAGTCGGCTTGTTTGAAAGAACTGAAAGAGCTGCCTTTGGAGATCATCTTCTGATTCGGCAATAATTGCTGCATCGTCTGCGTAACACACCATACCAATTCTTTTGTTGCCCATTCTATATCCGAGATTAAGAGATGTTACTTTGTTGATAATTTTGCCCATGAGAAGATTAAACAAGAAGGGGCTTAAACTGTCGCCTTGTCTAATTCCTCCCGGTGTTGGAATATTTTCAGTGAATTCGTCTCCTGCTCTAACTTTGGTTACGTTGTTGTTATTTAGTTTATGGAGTATCTTTGTTATACTGGTCGGTGTTTCATTTTCTATTAATATATTTAGAATGTCTCCCAGGCGAACTCTGTCAAATGCCTTCGTCAAATCAATGAAGCAAATATACGCTGGCATGCCGAACTCTATAGCTTTTTCTTTTATTTGTTTTATTATAAATACTGCGTCTGTTATAGACCGCCCTTTTGTAAAACCTTGTTGTTCTTCAGCATTAGTGATTTGCTTTTCCAATTTGTCCTTGAGAATACCCGTGAAAAGTTTCATTGTTGTATTTAAGAGGGTTATTCCTCTATAGTTTTGTGGGCAGGTTTTTTGTCCTTTTTTAAATATGGGGATTGTGATACTATTATGCCATTCCTCTGGTGTTTCTGTTTTGTTTAATATTTTGTTAAATAGTTGTGCCAGTTTACTTGCAAGTTCCGGGCCTCCATATTTTAAAAGTTCATTGGGTATACCATCCGTTCCGGTGATTTTCTGTTTTTTAGCTTTTTGATCTTTGCTTCTACTTCTTCGTCATTGATTGTAGCACTCACATCTGTTTCGCCTTCGTTTATATTCAGCGTTTCTTCAGCATCATATAGCTCTTTAAAATGCTGTTGCCATGTCTCTATAGGTACTCCTTTGGTCTGCACGAACTCGTTAACTGGTTTTTTCCTGTTGCGGAGCATTTTCCATACTTTCTTTTGGGCACCATATAGGTCGTAGTCCATGTCGCAAGTGAATTTGGCCCAATGTTCTCTTTTGATTGATTTTATTCTGGCGTTTACTTCGTTTCTTATTTGGACATATTCTGCATGAGCTTCTTCCGATTGCGTGCTTTTATATCTCAGGTAGCATTTGCGTTTTAATTCAGAGAGTTCTTTTACCTCTTGGCAAAACCACGGTTTGGTGTGGTTTGTCGCTCTCGTGTTAATTTTCCGCTTTCCAATCGCTTCTTCTGCTGCTTCGTTGATGCATTTCTTAATTTTTTGCCAAGTATCTTCTACTCCCCATTCGGGTTTTAAGTCGATCTCTTTTAGTTTGCTGGTAATCCCGTTCTCATAAAGCAGTTTTGTACTCTCTGTTGCTAGCGACTCTATATTATGTTTTTCGAATGAACATTGGGGGTTTTCTGTTTCGTTGCGGACGTTCTAGTAGCATCTTGCATAAAACAAGGTTATGATCAGTCCCCAGGTTAGCAGATGTTAGTGCTCTGACATCAAGTACTTGTGACGGAGTTATCGCTCGATTTGTGATTATAAAATCTATCATTGATCGCTGGCCTCGATTATTGTTAAAAGTGTATTTATGTTGGTCTTTATGAAGAAAGTATGTATTGTTGATTCTCATTTCATTTCTAGCGCAAAAGTCTATTAGTGCTTCGCCGTTTTCATTAATTATTTCTTCGTTGTACTTTTGTTTTATACCTACCAAAAAGTAACTAACTTTGCAAAAAAAAATTACTAAATTCACTTGACAGTTCGGACTCGGAATAGCGAACCGACTATAACAGTATTATTCTTTTTTACTAATAAAAAAACACACACGAACAATACGTCAACAATAACACTTCTCAATACGTCAAACAAACAAACTTCAGTTTCTATTGGGCAGATTGATAGATAAACTATTTGGAACATGGCGGATTTTCACAGATATTTGGATTGCAAAAAAGCCCTTCTTTTCGCTTCATGTTGGGTGGTGTATTATGTGCATATACCATTACTTTGAGTGAAAATTATGAATATTTTTAAGTATAGAATTATTTTTGCATACATCTCTAAATTATTCCATTATGTATTTGCCTTTTTCTGCACGTAAATAATAAATTTATACAGTTCAAGTAAATATTTATCTTTAATGGTCATGGTTTAGTTTAATTTAAGCATGTACTATGTAAATCATGTATATTTATAGCAAAATATATAATTCGTACTTTGTTCCAACCAAAAAACTAATTTTAGCAATAAAAATATAAATAAAAAAATTGCGTTAATTGTAGATAATTAATACAAAGATTTTATTATCTTACATGCCGTATTTTAGATTTTTCTTTTCTTTTATGACCATCTCAACTAATTTTCGTAGTGTAACAATAAAATGCAAATCATAAATGCATTCTAATTCGCCAATCGGAATAATTAAACAAATAGCGATTTATGGAAATTGTTAGCCTACGGTTAGGGAGTATATATATTTAGATTAATTTCCCGATTCGGGAAATTTCGGGAAACTTTATCAGTTTCCTGCCAGTTAAACTTCTCCTTGATATTAGCAATCGTTAGTGTCAGACCTTTGGGAAGCATCACTATCCAGTCAATTTCTAAATATCAACGGGTTTAATATCAACTTGGTCTTATTTTGGTAATTAATAAGCATTTTAATCATTTTAAGTTGTTGTTTAATCATATTTAGACTGCGTAACTTTAAAACACTAGCAAGCGGTATATGCAAAATTCTATCTTTATTTATGTTTTCTTGAAGAATTCCTAGATACGGAATATCGATATGTTTTAAAGGGATAATACTTGTATAATAGGGTACTTGGAGGATACCCGCGCAAAGGGTACCCTCCCGTTAAGATGGGCAAAATGCTATCACTCCCATACTTCCATTATTTGTTTTTTTCAGACATTTACTTTAAGACATTCACAAATTGGCGACACACACCCCGCCCCCCCAAAAAAAAAACCATGTTTTCACCGGGTTTTATGAGTTTTTGGCGAAGTTTGACGGGTTTTTTGAAACATTTTAACATGGATACAACCTTAATCATTTTTCTCATATTTTTACTTTTTATGTAATTAAAAATAAAAATTCTGCCCAATTTGTCTATTTTTATAGACTTTTTGGGGATTTTCTCAATTTTTATAAAGTTTAAAATAGATGAAATCAAGGCTTTTTTTATACGTAATATACATTTTAAATTAATTAATTGTTGGTAACGGGGATAAACCTGCGCTAAGCCCTATTTTTTACAACATGGAACGCAAAAGAAATGAAAAAAAATGAATTTTGGAAATGAGTGAGTGAGAGTGAGTGAGAAAACAGTGGTATGGGGGTAAACGTAAAATAATTACATCACGGTTTAATGCCTTTTCATCAATTATATATTTTTTATAAGCTGCTTTTTGTTGCCTTACAATAGGTAATAATTCCTTTTTTGTTGAATTCTCCTTGTACTCAATTGCGTGTTTATCCAACCATTCGATTATCTCTCATTTTTTCCATGCTGTTGTTGGCAATTTTTCTGCTAGTCTTGAATGGTAACTAGCATTATCCATGACTATGACAGAATATGTTAGAATTTAATCCAATATTTGTTCAAAATATTCTTAAAAAACGCCATTTCCTCCAGTCCTCCATTTCATCCAGTCATTTCCTCGTGGTAATGTTTGGTTGATTTTAAGGCAAAACTTAATAATCCACCATTGACAAAACCGTATTCGTTTCCAATATGGGTTATTATGAGTCTGCATCCTTTTCCAACGGGTAATATTGTTTATTTCCAGTAGATACACCTTCGATGAATGCCTGACAGGAACTTTTCACATTTGTATCAACCCATAGATATGGTACAGTATGACCTTCATTTAGCCAAGTCTAGTCAAAAAAAATTGTTTTCCCTTCTTCTCGGTACTTTTTAATAATTCTTAGATAATCTCGTCTCCAACATACAATGCAATCTTTTTCAATTAAAACGGATTTTCTTCTATTCTTTTTTCAACGAAATCCCATCTCTCTCTCAATAATCTCCATAATTTCTTGTTGCTTATGATTGGTAACTCTTCGTTTTCTCTACTTAATGTTTGGATTTTGTCCAATGTTGGAAATTCTTTGTTAAAAAAAAATGAGTGGACTCTTGCGTCTTATCATGTTTTTATGTATTTCTTCAATTTCCAAGGGTTTACTCCTTCCACTCTTCTTGGGAGATGAAACAGTTCCTCCTTTTCTTTCTTTTAGGAATCTATAAATTGTTGCTTCTCCAACCTCTGTCATATCTGAACACATGTTAACGATTTCACAAACATTACTTAAAGGGCGTTAATGTACAAGTGCATCGTGTACATTTAATATTATATTTTTCTCTGTTAGACTGAAGGCATTTTTAAAAACTACACTTAAACCGGGATAAAACCTGTTGTCGACGTAATTTTTAAATTCAAATAACAAAATATCGACACCAAAAACGTAGGTAGGTAAGACATGAACAATGTACAACTACAAACTAAATCGAAAATGTAAACAATTTCTAATTTATATTGCTTAATTTATACCTATACTTAAACTAGCATTAGCATTAGCCTTATCAGTAATTCCAGGTAATCGTTCAAAGAAGGTATTTCTTTTTGTGTCAGTCGATATGTATAGAAAACAATAATCACCTTTAAATTACTGTTTACATTAATTTTATTTCGTGAAACCATTGAATTCTCTCGTTAATCACCCGTGTATAATTAACAATAATCGTGTGGCATATATACCGACGTTTTTTTACACACAAAAAAGGTTATAGTGAGATTAGTGGACACTTATTTTCCTGAAGATTTTCTTAAAGATAATGAATTGTTGACGGCATCTTAAAATATTAATTTTTTTTATTTATTTCAAAACAAGTATAGTGTGACGCCTATGGTTTTTTGACCTGTTGAGGATTTGCATACATAATGTGCTATCAATATGATGGAAAAAGGCTATATCAAATTATAGTTCTCCATAATCAAAATCTTCAGTTATTTTGTATAATTACTTAAAGACCAACCTGTTTATTACAAATATAATTTTCATTTTATATTTAGAATCCTTCAGACTTGTCTTCGTACATATACTTATTTAGAATCAATTATGTGTTATAAATCACAAGATGTTATTGTATAATAATATAGATATGTTATGTTGTGTCATATATTGTTAAGCATAATTAATATCGAACATATTAATTCAAAAATTAGTGCAATGATTTCTAAATGCATATTGACCGATATTTTATCTCACGGAGCAATATAAAACACAGTACAAAAGAAAAACCGTTTGCCCATTCGGCATGCCGTCAATCTAATCGTAAAAAACATCCCAATAACTTACCAATATATTGAAAATAATGCTGACTACTGAAATACCAGTGATCGAAAGCCAATACGGAATTCCAATAACAGTGTTAAGAGCAACACAAGGAGTGAAAACTGTCACTCCCTGATTGAGAAGCGCTCTTACAATATAAGTTCCCGAAGCCAGCTGTTTAACCAATCGAGATTTGAACCGCATATCCAAATATTGGTACACTGAAGTTATTCCAAGGCTGAAATACACCGGCACGAATATGAAGCAAACTATAGGATAGGCCAGGACCATGCCGTAAAGGGTTTCCCACATTGTGGCTCCTCTATAGAATAGTTCCGAAGGGTAACCTAAGGGAAAAACAAGTTTTTAGTTTAATGGATGACAAGGTAGAGGTTTTTGGGTCGCCGCGATATGATACGATATCATATTCGAAACATTGTTTAATGCATAACTTTAAAGGTAGGCGTTTGGGATGTTTCCCAACTATATGTATTTACACACTGTAAAAAATCTAAAGATAATTTTTATACATTTATTATAAAATAATTTTCTAAATATTTTAACTTTAATATTTTTAAAAACTAAGTGTTGGTACAGGTAAAAAATAAGATAATATCAAGAATGAATAAAAAAATCGATTACCGTAAAAAGGGGTTACATTGAACATTTTCTTCATATTTTGTTGAATAAGTTTTGTATCTGTTGCTCAATCGAATAAAAAAAATATCACTTATGGGTCACTATACAGATTGAACCAAATTAAAACGGAACATACAATTTAATACATGTCTGTTTGAACTGCATTTGAAATAGTGGACCAATATAAAACTTGGACAAAAATAAATCCATACCTGGGTATAGACATTGTATAAAATATCGTTCAACTATCTGTCTCACAACAATGTTGTTTGCGTAAGACGGGTTTGTCTAAGGTAGCGATAATAGTTCAGGAAATGAAGCTCGAAAAAAGTTAAAACCTCGCAATTTTTTCGTCCTGCATGTATCCAGTTGAAATTTTAACAGAAGGTAGGTGATAGCCCAAGGATCAAAATCTATATCGAACCGAAGTGCGCTGAAGGGTTTTAGGGGTGAAAACTACCCCTAATTTTCAAAAATTATAAAATAACATATTAAACCTGAATATGGGTAAGATTTTGTTTGAATTAGTTAAATAATGATTATTTTATACTTTTGAATAGAGTTCCATCATATTTCAACCCTTAAAAAGCAACCCTTGTTAGAGATTAATGTAAAAAAATTACTAATTCTAAAAAAAATGATTTCGCCTTGGATCGATTTGGATAAAAATTTGGATTTAAGCTCAATTCACCCGCTGCTTTATAGTTTATGTCATGTCGACGAACCCTGATTGTTCTTAGAGGTGAAAACTACCCGTAATTGTCAAAAATTATAAAATAACATATTAAACCTGAATATGGGTAAAATTTGGTTTGAATTAATTAAATAATGATAGTTTCGTGCCTTTGAATAAAGTTCCATCATATTTCAACCCTTAAAAAGCGACCCTTATTAGAGATTTATATAAAAAAATTAGTAATGCGAAGAAAATTATTTCACCTTGTAACGATTTGCATAAAAATTTGGAATTAAGCTCAACTCACCCTCTGTTTTATAGTTTATGTCATGCCGATGAACCCTGATTGTTCTTAGGGGTGAAAACTACCCCTAATTTTCAAAAATTGTAAAATAATATTATAAATCTTAAGATGAGTGTAATTTGGTTTGGATTAGTTAAATAGTTATTTTTTTATACTTTAATAAAATACAAATTCATACATTTTTAACCCTTAAAAATCAATTGTTATGAGTGCTATAGGTGAAAACAATTTTTTGCCAAAATTTTGCAACTTTTCAACTTTTGAAAATCACCCTTTACAACATTGCAGTTTTTATAAACTAATTTATACGATATAAATTGAAAAAAGTAGAATTAAATACAAAAAAATTTATCAACATAAAAAGGCACCATATTTTCTTATACATTTACATAAATAGTTGAAAATATTTACATTTATAGGTAAAACAATTATAATATTAATTTTATTCGTCATCAATTACATCTTCATCGTGATCTATGTCATCCTCATCTTCAATTATTGGGGGACTATTATTGCACCCTTCACCTGAGCACCCAGAACAAGTAGAGTTACAGTATAAAACCAACTTTTTCTGCACCCACATGAAACACCGCATCCTTTTTTGCATTGCCAAAAAATAATTTTCAAAAGTTCATCGAGTGCAGGTTGTTTGTTCATGCGTACGGGTAATAACAAACGCAGAAAATTTCGAATGTATAACGCCCCACTAGCTAATATACCGGTTTTTGTAGATTATTATGCTCCGAAATGTACTGTACTATACTAATGGAGTTTTCCGGAAAAAAATTCACTGGTTTTTTTAACGTATTTCCTTTAATTTTTAACGATAGAGTGTTTCTTTAAAAACGATTTGTAGAGGTTTTTAAGAGCTACAAGGATCTGTGAATTAAATCTTTTTGGAACCATTGGTTTTTAAATGGGGTGAGTTTAAAAGGCCCGAAAAAGATGGTGCTTGATCGTAAATCGATGCTTTAAACGGCTATATCTCGCCAAATATTCATTGTACAACAAATCTAAATGAAGGATAATTTTAGTCATTAAAAAAGCTACAATTTGGTAATTTGTATTTTCTTCATATATTCAGTACTTTCGGGCATATTTAAAAAAAGAAGGGTAAAAAATATGAAATTGTAAATCGTTTCTCGTTTTAAGCTGTACTTTTTCTAACACAAAGCATTTTAAATGGGTCAAACTTCTTGGACGTATTAACAATACATGTACAAAGGGAATTTTCAGAAGGGTGAAGATCGATTTTAATTAGGGGGGTGGTTAGGGGGTTGTTTTCATCGATTTTTTCGTAAAAAATGAGGTATTGACCTTATTTTCATCATAACTCACTCTAATTTTTGAGCTAGAGTCTTTTTTATGATAGGTCTATTTATGCTCTTTAAAAAAGGTTTTGTGAGTTTTCTTCCAAAAATGCATCAATTTATCGATATTTGATTTTGAATCTTTCAAATTTGGCATTTGAAGAAAACCGCTGAACATTGATAGGCCGTATTTCGGTTCCTATTATATCGCAAAAACATTTTAAAAAAATGAATTGTATTTGTCTTTTTAAAAGCTACAAATTTGTTCTCTACAATTTTTTTGATAAAATGCACCATTTTCGAATTATTCGCGAAAAATCGATTAAAAACGTGGATTTTTTTGTCTAAAAGTTATTACTTTCAATCGCGAATCACTTTTTTAATCGAAACCTGTAGTTAAAAACGTAAAAAAAAATTTTCACCCCGGAGATGGAGTGGCAACCACCACCCCTAGGCTTTAGCGCACTTTGGTTCGATATAGATTTTGATCCTTAGGCTATTACCTACCTTCTGTTAAATTTCAAGTCAATCCACGGAGAACGAAAAAATTGCGAGGTGAAATGCTTCATTTCCTGGACTATAACTGGTTTGACAGCATAAATCGTAGATTTATGTGTAGCTTTCAATTTTTATGAGTTCAGAATCCAACAGCCCGCTGAAGTATTGGATTTTTATAATATAATTATTTGACAATATTTTGTTGGCCAACCACCTACAGCAGAATTGAGCCGAAATACATTATATTCCTATGTTCCGAATTTATTTCGTTCAATCTGTAGAAGCATGACTTTACATACGTTAGATTATCTCTTGGGCGTAGCTATGTAAAAATAGCTATAAAAAAGTTGCTGTTCAATTTTACCTCGAGTTCGGGGTAACATTGAACAGTAGTATAAATCGGTGTCTACGAACCCACAGGTTAGTTATTCGTTCAATTTAAACCCCGCCAGTGAAACAAGCGGAAAAAAACTAGTGGGGGAGAATTTTGTTTGTTTTTTTTTTCTCAATGGTTATATTTATTGACAAAATACTTTTTTACATTCTTTTTTATTACACTTTAAATTCTTTTACACAGTCTTATAAAATCATATTTTAAACTAAAGAAATTGGTAATTTTCAAGTCAAATGTTAAAACATAAGGAAAACGTATAAACGACAGTCTTTAGAAGGATTTTAGCCCAGAGTATACCCATTAAATTGGATCGAAAAAAACCACTTTTCCGCGGCGGTCTTCAGCTGGAGCAGGCAGAAGTCTCTCAAAATCTGAAGAACTTACGACTAAAATGTCGTCTATCTGAAAATAAATCAACAATCGATTTTGGTATAATGCAAAATGCACTAAAAAATTTACCTCTGGTCAATAGAAGGCAGAATTCTTCGCAATTCTTAGGAACTTGACCACATAATCTCCATTAGGCAGTTTTTCTTTTATAAGACCAACGAAAAATTTCAAGATCTTTTTGGTTGCGAATCTCACGAGCACATAATCGTCGACGACTGCAGGCCCTGTTGGCCTTTCGATCTCCTTGTTCTTTTCTTGGTGCATTTCATCACAAAATGTCTCGAAATAACAATCATATTCGTCCTGAAGCTCTAGTTCGTAGTCGGAACTGTCACTATCCAATTCCTTAGCAGACTTTTTCTTATTCTTCGTGGGTGGTGCAGAACATCCAGAACTTTCTCCTATTTCAAAATTTTCCAATCTAATGCTTTTACCCGGTGCGATGTTAATTTTCTTTTTTCTTTGAGTTCTAGCTCTCTTGTTGTTCCTAATACCCTGTAGAAATTGCAAAACTGTGTCGTTTAAACTGTTTCCAAAACTTTCATTTGATTCAGTATCATCAGTACCAGGCAATTTCTTTAATATTTGATTTCTGTCTAAAGGGTATATACCCGTTGCCCGAAAGCCACTTTGAAGGTTTTGTTCACCAGTTTCTGCGAATTTTAACATCAGCTTTTTTAAAAGTTTTGGAAACATCTCCTTTGGAAGACCAGTTGATCCCGTTGCTAACTTATAATCGCTGAGTATTGCACGCCATTGTTTCTTCAGTGGTGCGAATACCGCGATATCCAGGGGTTGAGCGATATGCGTAGTATTCAGCGGTAAACATATGAATCGAATATTATTTTCAACCGACAGTCTGATAATTTGCTCAGAAAAATGGCTCGCCAAGTTATCCCCGATTAATACTTTGACTCCTTCTTCATGTCTCGTGGATTAAAGGAAAACAGAAGTAAACCAATTTAAAAATGTTACAGAATCGAACCATCCATTAGCTGTTCGGTTGTATCTGGTTTTATCGGGTCCTCCTTCCGTCCAAGTTGTCCAAAGGTTTTCTGCTTTGTAGACTACATACAGAGGCAGCAGAACTCCTGAAGCGCTTCCACAAAACATCAAAGAAATGTTTAATGTTGATTGAGATAATCAACGTTCTGGGTATTTCACCCCTCTTTTAAAAAAGCATCTTGCAGACCCAGGATCATCCGATAAATTTGTCTCATCGAAATTGTATATACAATCGGGGGAAACTCCGTCTAGACATTGCTCAAGGTTATCAAAATAAGCAATGAAAACTTCTCTAGTGGAAGATGCTCTATTTCGGTTTATATTTTGAGATTTTCTTACACTTATTTCTCTGCTTCTTTTCAGAAAACCTTTAATCCAGTCGATACCAGGTAAATTATTTTTAAACTGCTTAACTCTCTTACCCATTGTATCCAAATGGCTTTTCATAACATGTCGTAAATCGTCGTGAGTCAAAGGAAAGCCCCATTCAGCGGTTTTCAAAAGCATCTTGACCAGTGCCTTTTCTTCGTCGTTGTTTAAAACTGTGGGCCTTCCGACGTCCTTCATTTTTTTGTTGTTCAGTTTGTGACTTAATGTTCCTTTTGGGATTTTGTATTTCTTCGACGCCTTGGAAAGTGATAACTGTTTTGTTTTAATTTCGCGGATTGCTTGATCCAAAGTATCAGAGGTGTAATTTTTGTATGATCGACTACCCAACTTTCTAACGTAATCACGCATTTTGGACTGAGATTATCGCACTACACTACCTATTGCACCACAACTGAATTTCCTAACCACACAATGTTCCTACCGCCAAGCCAACCAATGTTATACTGAGCTCTGAGCTGAGTGAATTTCATTCAATTGATTCAAAACGAGGTAGCGTAACGCCAGACAATAATATTTAGATGGAACTCGATTGACGACGCCCAAGCAGGTTCAATCCTGCCGTTCAATGTTACCCCACGTTCCCAAAATAATTGACATATTTTTTGTATAAATTAATTAAAAATATTCAAAACCCTAATCATTTACGGTATTATGTAGAATAAGGTTCAAATAGGTACTAGTATCGTGTAAAATTAGTCATGAGAAGATATCTTTTGCATATCGCCGGCTGCAGACCAAAGTTTGAGAGATTTTTTTTTACTACCTTTTATTTCAGAAACCATTGTGATTTCATTTTTGTTAATTTTGAGAACCTGCCAGAAATTTTATCCAGTCCATAAAAGGTCAAAGAAAAACATATTTGAAACCCTCAAAAAAATATATCGGCCCCAAAAAAAAAGTTTAGGCCAACTTGTAGAAAAATATAATCTTCATTGCAAAACTGTTCAATGTAACCCTCGGGTTCAATGTAACCCCGTTTTACGGTACTGGCCAAATTTTCAAACTAAAAAATACAAACGACACATAAAATCACATTGTACGCAATGTTCATAGATTTCAACAACCCTATGCTGCAATAAAATAAAATAAAATATTCCAGACACTAAACAAACTCAGAATGTGAATAAAGATGATTCAATTAAGGTCTGTTTGGTGGCAACTAGCTGTTGATTACAAATAAAAATATTAAAATTATCAAGCTTCCAAAAAAAAGGCAACCTCACACTGTGCAAAAATTGGAGAGGAATAACCTTGCTTACTGTCATAAATAAAATTTTCACGACCTTAATACGGATAATAGGGAATTAATTTTTTATCTATTAGAATGGAACGAAAGATCGCGAGGAAGATCCAAAATGCAATGGAACGATAACATTAAAAGTAATGTAGTACCAACATCAAAACGTCTGGTATGAAACAGGGATGCTTGAAAGGAAATGAAAGAGGTTTGTATTAGAAAAACAGTTAAAACAATGCTCACCTAAAAACGATCGCACTCCCAGCGTCCCTCTGGCTATACTCAGCATCATCGCCGCCATTGACACTTTGCCAGCTGCAAATACGTAGTCTGCTTTCGTTTTTTCTTTGGGTCCGAAGAATTTTGAGTAAACTGCCACAAATGTACTAGCTATGACAAAGATGAAGAACACGAGGTAGTCCCATACCATACTTTTCGCGTCCTTCGACATTGTGATTGGTTCTGTCTATTTTTATTGATTGGTAAAATCTAAAACAAAAAAAAAATATTTGTAAATAGTGCATAAATTGGTTTATATTTTTCAATGCTAAATGATACTAAAACTAATTTCGATGCAACAGTTTTCCTAAAAGATAATTTAATAATGACAGGTAAAGTAAAGTGACCAAGATATTTTACCAAACAGGCAACTTCATAAAAAAATTTACATTGCAGTTCCTTTCAAGATTATTTTGAAAGTATTTTATATAAAATTTAAATCTAAATCCACTAAATAATCTAAAAAAAAATCAGAAAAGGAGTTCTACAAACCACTAATCAACATAGTTTTTTTCAGATATTTAAAAATATAATCATAAAATAGTCTCGTTTTCGAAAGTATTTTTTACAGAACCTTGGAGTTCACTACAAAATCTAAAAAAATGAGAAAGGAAATTCTATTTACCAACAATCACCAATTATTTTCAAATTTAAAATAAGTAGATTCTTTTGTAGAAATAGTTGAAAAAATATTTACATTTGTTTATAATTTATTATCAGCTAGCACCAATATGATTGTTACTAGTACAAAATTTGCACACCCTGTATACCACAAAGTAACATGGGTCTCACCAGACCAAAAAACATGGTCCCAAATAGACCATATACTCATCACAAAGAGAAAGCAAACATCGATAACAGACGTGAGAACATACAGAAGTGCACATGCAGACACAGACCATTTCATGGTAACCGCAACGATAAGACAAAAAGTCAAAAGAACGCTAAAAAACAAGACAACAAAGGACAAATGGTACATAGAAAAATTAAATGCTACAGATAGAAGAATTAAATATGCAGAAGATATAAGCAAAAAACTGAAGGAATACTGTGAACATACAGAGGATGTTGAAACAGAATGGAGCAATATAAAAAAAAATGTATAAATGAAACAGCTTCTGAACATGTAGGGATAGAGAGAAAGAACAAAAAAGAAGAATGGTATTATCAAGACTGTCATAACATGTTAAAAAAGAAGATAGAAATAAGACAAAGGTGGATGAGAACAAATAGACAAGAATATAAAGAAGAATACAACAAATTAAGGACAGAATGTAAGAAACAAATAAGAAAAATTAAACGAACCTAGTTAAATGATAAGATAAATGAAATAGAAAAAGAAAACACAAATAGAAACACAAAAGCGTTTTATAAGAAAATTAGCGAGCAGAACAAAAACCTTCAAAGGAAAGATAAAAGGCATAAAGGATAGAAATGGAAAAGTATCAGAAAATGACAAAGAGTTTAAAGAAATCTGGACTGATTATTTTAAAGAATTATTAACAGTACAAGAGGACGAAGACTTAAATGAAAATGTGGAAGAAGAGACCACGATGATAGAAACCGAGCTAGAAAAACCAACGAGAGATGAAGTTGAGGAAATTATAAACAGTAGTCGCAACGGTAAAGCACCAGGTATAGACGGTATAAACATGGAACTAATAAAATATGGTGGACATGAACTCAGAGAAAAAATACACCAATTAATAAAAGTCATATGGGACGAAGAAAAGATGCCAGAAGAATGGCACAAAGGACAAATTATCACAATCCATAAAAAAGGAGACCAACAAATGTGTAATAATTATTAATTATAGAGGACTGACATTATTAAACACAGCGTATAAAATCATGCCAACCTTAATACAACGAAGACTGGCCAAAGCGACAACAAATATCATGGGACAGTATCAATGCGGATTTATTAGGGGAAAGTCAACAACAGATGCCATACATACGGTAAAGCAAATTATGGAGAAAGCTTATGGATATAAAATAGAAATTGAACTGTTTTTTTATAGACTTTCAACAAGCATTTGATTCAATAAACAGAGCGAAATTACTTACAGCTATGAGAGAAATGAGAATACACAACAAATTAAGACGATTAATAAAAATGACAATGAGCAAAACCGTAGTAACTGTAAAAACACAAGAAGGAGACACAGAAGAATTTGTTATAATTAAAGGTGTACGTCAAGGAGATTCATTATCTGCAACTCTGTTTAATCTTGCCCTGGAATATATAGTCAGAAAAATCAACAAAGGTACACTTAGAACGAGAGAGGGACAAATAATAGCATATGCCGACGATATTGTAATAATAACAAAGATCAGAAAAAAAATGGAAAGTATGTTAAAAGAATTGGTAGCAGAAGGGAAAGTAATGGGATTAGTAATAAATCAAGAAAAAACAAAAATAATGAGATTTGACAAAAAATATAAAAACAAAAAGGTTAGACTGGGAGAATATATATTTAAAGAAGTAGCAAAGTTTAAGTATTTGGGAATATTATTAGCAAACAATGGAGAAAGGGAAACAGAAATTAAAGAAAGGATAATTACAGCAAATAAGACATACTATGCAAATAAAAAGCTTCTAAAAAATAAATTACTGAGCAAAAAATCGAAAATGAAAATATATAAAACAATAATTCGACCGACTATGATGTATGCTGCCGAAACCCTTAGCATGACAAAAAAACAAGAGGAAGACCTTAGAATACTAGAAAGGAAAATACTAAGAGCAATATTAGGACCAATAAAAATTAATGAAAACCAATATAGACAAAGAACGAATCCTGAACTACTAAACGAAATTAAAGAGGATATAGTTTGTAAAATAAAACAGCAAAGGGCAAAATGGCTAGGACATATATGGAGATCAGGACCATCTACGACAATATTCTCAATATTGGAATGGACACCAGCTGGTAAACGAATACGTGGAAGACCAAGATCTACATGGCTACAAGAAGTAACAAACGATCTCAACAGGGCGGGCGTACGACAATGGAGAGAAAAAACCAGAGATAGGAAACAGTGGAGAAAAATAACAAGAAAAATTAAACAAAGAAAATGAGGACTGATCTACCTCGTAAAATAGATCTAGAGAGCTTAAGCGGCGTAACCCCGTACGGGGTGTTTAGCCACAATATATATATATAATTTATTGGGGTATCCAAAAGAATATAGAGGGGTATAAGAATAGTGATAAATCACTCGCCTTCGCTGATATTGAAGTTTACGGAGTTAAAGAATGGAGGTACGCACGTACGCAGCCAATAACACACTTAAAGGTATTATCTTTCCAACGGTGCTTAATAGGTGGTTGTCCTGATAATACTACTAAAATTGCAAGTTGGATCTTAGAAGGATATTTTTAGATCTAAGATCCCAATGTGTCTGAAAAAAAAATATTTATTCAGTGTATTTTGCCAGTGATGACCTACGGCGCAGAAACACTCACATGAGCACCAGTGTTGCGGAAAGGGCAATGGAGAGAATAATGTTAGGTATTTCTCTACGTGATAGAATACCCAATGCTACTAACGCAAAAGATAAGGAGTAATTGAAAGGATAATAACACTAAAGTGGAACTGGGCAAGTCATGTAGCAAGATCAGTTGATGACCGGTAGAAAAAGGAATTTTGGAATGGAGACCCCGAATACAAGCTAACAGAAAAAGAGGTCGACCGAGAGGCTTATCGAGAGGTCGACACCTAAACTTCGAAATACGCTACAGAATGGTCAAGTGCTACATATGGTCCATCTTGCTTTATGGCATGGAAACGTGGACTTTGAAAAAAAACATCTATCAACAAACTTGAAGCATTTGAAATGTGGTCATTGAGAAGAATGATGCGCATACCTTGGGTGGATAGAGTTCGAAACGATGACGTCCTTAATAGAGCCGGCGTGGAAAGAGAACTCTTTGAATTAATTAAAAAACGCAAGATTGGTTACCTTGGGCACATATTGAGAGGAGCAAAATATGAAATACCACAGTTAATCCTACAAGGGAAGATCGAAGGTAGGAGAGGAGCCGGCCGCAAACAATTGTCCTGGTTAAGGAATATTAAAGAATGGACAGGAATACACAATACAGGTGAGCTGTGTCACGCCGCCAAGAACAGAATTCTAGTAATGAGATAGTCGCCTACGCACTTTGGTGTATGGCATGTTAAGAAGAAGAAGAAGAGGCTTATGTTTAGCAGTGGACGTTAGAGGCTAGTTGATGATGATGAATTATAAGGAGTATGCAAAAGAACTTGCCGTAAAGAAAAGCATGTACCAGTAAATTTTTTCTACCGAGTTCAACCTTCCTTTCAAGCCCCTTAACATTGATACATGTGACACCTGTGACAGTTTTGAAAATATGCGAAAAGAGGTAGATCCTAATAGAATTGAAGATATTTTAAAGTAAAAGACAGATCACTTGAATGAGACAGAAAACAGATACAAGTTAAAAAGGTAGGATAAGATAAGATGCAAGTAAAATTTAAAAGAAGTCGTAGCAATGATGGATTTGCAAAAATGCCTCTCCATACCTATGTTTACTAATGGAAAATCGTTTTATTTAAAGCAGTTATGGACATTTAATTGTACCGTCTATAATGATAGTTTTGCCGAAGGTTTATGCTTTATGTGGGATAAGTTTATTGCAAAGATGGGTGGCGACGAGACAGCTTCAGCTGTAAGAATGTGATTAAAAAATGTACCTTCTACAACAATTTGGTCAGACAACTGCTCTGGTCAAAACCGAATTTTTTTTTATTTTGTATATATATGTAGGCTGTCCATAACACCTCAGTAGTTATAATTAAATATTTATTCACTTGGCATACACACAACGAAGCAGACACAATAAATGTACTAACTGAGAGGAAGAAGAAAATACTATAAGATTATTACAGAGAGTATTATACCTACTATGAGTATATACCCCATGAATGGGCCCAGTTTATAAGTACTTGCAGTTATTTAAAACCGCTTAGGGTTTATGATCTGAAAACAAGTGACTTCGTTAGCTTTGTAAAATGTTGGCAAATGGGCAAAGAATCGACAATGTTTAATAATAGAAAACGAAACACGGATAATGAACCCTTCCTAACCTCTAAAATTGCATGTGAAAGTCAAAAGAAACCACATCCTGGTATTATGTTTTATAAA